TTGCTTGATTGTGGAGCTCTTTGCAGCCGAGGGGTCAAAATAAACCGAATCTGAAGAGGTTTTCTCCTACAACGTGGGACTGTGGAGGACATATTTTCTTTGATAAGTTTCCTCGAATGTACAAGTTGGTAGGCGAAATAAATAATGTTTGTCTTAATGACATTTCTTCCAGAAATTCCATGTTCGACTCTTTTTAGGGCAAAAAACCATTTTTTTTAATTTAAGGATGCCTCACTATATATATGATTTCTTTTTTTATTTAATATATCCATTTAAATTACATATGCAGCACAAATTTTTGAAAGATCTGTAAATTATGAAATATGAAATGAAAGAATGAAATAAACCAACGAAAAAATGAATAGAATTTTGGAACTTCAAATAGAAAGATACAAATTTCGCGTCATAGCGATATGTTTCAATCGCTGCACTGACTTACAACACAAGAGAACGAAACACGCAAGTGACCTACTGTTATTGTTAATCGGTCAGTTGTACAGAATTGGAAGAGGTTTAAGACTCCTAGAAACTTTCCTCAAAGTAGTGTTCTACCTAAAAATATATCTGAACGAAAGCTAAAACATAGTACAGAGAAAAGTCAAATATAATCCAAGGTCGATGAAAAAAAGCTTTAAAGATTTCGAATCCGGGGTGGAAGAATCGGTTAGTAAAAGAAGTGAAAATGACGAAATGTAGCGAAATTGTTTCTGTTTGTTGTGAAAAACTCTTTTAACGAAACAAGAAGCACAAGGATTGAATTTCACACATTTGAGCAGCTGAGAAATTAAATATCTTTTAGTAGACGGTTTTCAGCGGACTCTATTCAACTCAAACTTTGTAATTACATCGACATAGACAGAAAAAGGTTGTCTGTGTCGCAGAGAAACATCATAATTAAGGAGAAAAATAAATAAAAAAATATCCAACCAATTTTTAAAAAAATCACTCATGAGTAATTTATTTGAAAGAAAAAACAATGGAACAATGTATACAGCAGGATTACATTTGAATCGTACAACAGTCGAAACAATGATCCCAAAACACAAAGCAAAATAAACTCCACAATGATTTCTAGAAACAATGTAGAAGAATTCCGAAATCCTATAAATTCTTTTGGTTTGGATCTCACCGAATGTTTACAACAAATTTTATAGAAGTCTATTTATTTGAAGGAAAAAACTTCGAGGGCTTTTTATAATATCCTCCTAAAAAATGTTATCTTTCTCCTGTTATTTTCTTCGTATCAGTTTGTCTTTCAAAACAATTCCGTTCAACACTATCTTTCTCTCTCTATTTCTTTCTTTCTCTCTCTCTCTCTCTACACACACACACGCACGCACACACACACACACACACACACATATATATATATATATATATAACATACGCAAATGTAAAATGTATTCTTTGGTATCTTTTATCTTTCCTCGGTCTTCCCTGAATTATTTGTTAATTAGTTTACATATATTTATATTCAACTATAGACTAGATGCTAACTTGTATTTGCATTATTTTAGTGGATAATCCTAATGATTACTAAATGTTTTCTCAATTACAAATATACACGAAGAGTGTGGTTTTTCTTAATTTTCTAGCACTTCATGATCGAGATCTCATGATTGTTTTGAATAGCATTCTTCTTCATCAGGTTTACAATTTCAATCTAACATTTTGTATATTTATTCCTTAAGATAAATTTATGAAATCTTGTGAAGTAAAGTACTTGTGAATGTAAAATCAAAATCTTATGAAGGAATTTTAGATGTGTTAAGTATGGCGTAGTTACGTAGGTAAATACGTATCTAGATAGGGGTAGGGTTAGGGTAGATACAATCAAAAGTATTCATATAGAGACGTTTAGTGTAACATTTGGCAACAATTAAAATCTCGTCATCGCAACTTAGTTTATCGTGCGCTAAACACTCCCATGCGTAAACGGACAAAATTCAAACATACATATCTTTGTATATCTAATACATACATATATACATTTGTTAACACACACACACATATATATATATTAAATATATATATAAAAATATTTCTATCTCTCTCTCTCTCTCTCTCTCTCTCTCTCTCTCTATATATATATATATATATATATATATATATATATATATATAATATAACCATACATAGATTTTGTACATTAATGTATGTATGTGCTTAGTTCCCGCGTATGGATACTTCCATCAGAACCTGCCTGTATAGCTATTATGTTGACAAATGTATATACTTATTATAATAAAGCTTTTATTCATACACGCACACACACACACACGCACACACATACACACACACGTATATATATGATTATAAGGTTTGTCACTTAGCTGATTGATGTTACCTTCAGATTTAAACAGATATGCACATATATCAATTTATCTACATTTGCGTATATATATATATATATATATATATATATATATATATATATATATATATACATATATATATATATATATATATATATATATATATATATATATATATATATATATATATATATATATATATGTGTATATATATATATATATATATATCATTTCACTCCAAGCAAGGCAATAAAGTCCGTAAATGCAAGGGGTTACTGAGTGTGAGAGAATATGAAAAAAGATAAAATATTAAGGAGAGAGAACAATAAAGAATAGGAATTAAGAAAACAGAAGATAACGATTGAGTTTGTATTTATGAAGATCAAAGTTGACTGGAAATTAAAATCTAGAAAAGAGTTCCATAAATAGAACTTACGGTTGCATCTAACTATTTGAAGTGTAAAATAATGAAACATTACCGCCAACCTACCACTGACCTTAAATCCCAAAATCCTAAGTAACATTGAGGAAAATTCATCAGAAAAATTACCATGAAAATATTTATAGAAAGGACACAGGGAAGCCACGTTACACGTTTTCCCACGCAGGTGGGAAAGTGACTGGAGCTGGTCTCTCTTTCTTTCTTTCTTTCTTTCTCTCTCTCTCTCTCTCTCTCTCTCTCTCTCTATATATATATATATATATATATATATATATATATATATATATATATATAGGTACACATTGCACATGTGTCTATATGTATTTGTCTGTATATATATATATTGTTACGTTAACCCCATATTTGTACCCTCACCTCAGATTTTATAAGTACATTTTCAGTACCTTTTGTATTTGCGACGAAACATATGAACCTTAACTTTTTTTATTTCTTAAATATGCAGATTGTGAGATACATATTGTTTTTATAACCAGATGAGTCAGGGCCAGTTCTCGGAAAAGAACCTTCCCTTCTACCCCCATCTCTTACCTGGTCCGCTGTTTGACAGATAGGTGTGAATGATGTTAACAAGTTCCATAGTCGCTGGTCAAAACAAACGCTGCTTGACAGATAACTGTGGATGATATTAACAGGGTCCGTGAATGACGCATCCCTTTTTTTGGGAGCCAACACGTGACTCAAAATATAGCAGTTTTCGTTTCGCACGTGTTGAGGTAACAACAACCACATATAGTTGCTGGCTATCAGAGGAGTCGGACGTCACCAAAAACCAGTCTTAGATACTCACCATTAGAAGAATTAGATGTCACCAAAAACCAAAGGACCGTCGCGAGATTGCAGATCAACATCGTCAACCCAAGTCGGCTACATTCCCGTGATTTTTCTGTGTGTTCTCCTCGCCATCAACCCGGATTGGACGTCGCCAGTCAAGAATTCATGTTAGAATATTATCAATCCCATCCGTTACTTTCAAAGAAGTGTGTAAATATCCTTTGAACAAATTGTACCCCGGTAATTGTCAATCGACGTCGATTCCAAACTTATGTAAGTTTCTGCATGTTTTTCCATATCTTATAATCTTCTATTTCTGTATTCATATGAATTTCGCCGCATTAGTATCTGTTTAATAATTTGTAACTTATCTCCCCATCCCTTGTATTATTTAGTTTTCTTTTTCTTATATTCACACTCCGTGTATTCGAGAAATAAAATCTTTGTATTACATATTCTCGTGTTGTCTTCTGTTGTTCTGTGTCTGCGAATTGTTCATTTTCTCTCTGCGTTTACCGACGTCCGGAATTGGAGAATTCCCCTCCCAACGTTCTTTTCTTTATTTTTATATCAAACCTTGGGATCTCTTACTTATTTTTTTTATTTTCTCGTTGCGTCCCGGCTATCGTAGTTCCAACGAAACCCGGGCGTGACAATATATATATATATATATATATATATATATATATATATATATATATATATATATATATATATATATAGTTTAACAAAAATCTAAGCCAATATAATCACTATAAAGAATACTCGCAAACATGCAGATAAGTATGAGATGATTGGCTTATGTATAAACAATAGGTACATGCAATAGTTTCCATGCTAACTCATTTCAACTGCATCCGTTTCTTTCTGTACCTGTTACTATATTTTTCTTTTATATTTCATGTAATTTGAGGCCATCGTTGCTCTTAATAACATTTATCTCTTTACGTTGTCTTTGTTTTGCTATCCATTAATTCGAACCCGTTATGTAGGTTCCCCGCTGTTTCTCTTTCTTCTGCTTTCATTTTGTTCTATTCTCAGTTTTCGTCGGTAATTTCCTCATCTATATTTGATTTAAGTTTCTCATTCGTCTCTAAGGAGAGTGTCCAACATTTACAGCTTAAGATATATCTCCAACTGTGTTTTATGTAATGCAGTCTCTATCATTGGTACTGGATCCGTTCTTGACTCCAAAAATATGGCCTTCGGACTCTGATTTTTTTATTCTAATAATGTACCATTTTGATGAATTTATATTCCTTGTAATTAGTTCTACAGTTCATTTTAAAAACAAGCAAACGAGCAGGAATATAAATATTTTCTACAATTCGAACACAAAGTGCGATAATTATTCTGAAACATGGTACGAAGTATATTTATTTCAGCGAATGAAAGGCATATGTCAGAAGTTTGTTGGTTGGAGAAAGAACATGAGAGAGAAAGATATTTACAGAGAGAGATAGAGAAAGAGGGAGAGAGAGAAATGGTGAGAAGGAGAGAGAAGAGAGAGGGGAGAGAGAGAGAGGGGAGAGAGGAGAGAGAGGCCATCTTTGGTAAACCAAATGTATGCAAAAACAGTTTGAATGCTTACAACTTTCAATTTGGAAAGGCTAGGGTCTAGCTGTTGATTATGACGTTTTATAAAAGCTTGTCAATTAAAATAAAAAAGGTGATTGTTGATAGAAGCTGTTGGTTAGAGAGAAACATGAAAAAAATACTGAATGATGAGAAAATAGGGGAATAACAACTCTCTCTCTCTCTCTCTCTCTATATATATATATATATATATATATGTGTGTGTGTGTGTGTGTATGTATGTGTAAATTCAACCCCATGCATACACAAACATGCACACAGACATGCCTGATAGCCTAAGAATAAAACAAATTATATAATGTCAAGGGTAGAAATGTAAGAGAGACAAGCCATAAAAGCCGGTAAATTAAACGAAGAAGTCGCCATATTTAATATAGTATTGAGCTAGTTGTATTGTACGCATCAATTATAAAAACTGAAGCGGTTTACGTATATATGCGCCTATATGTGCACAATGGACCGAAAATTAAATTTTTTATGGTTTATTCTTTTAAACAAATGAAGTTATTTCTATCCATTAACACAATAACCTCGTCTCAAAAGAACTTGCAGAACAGAATAAGTTTGTAAATTATCAAAATGAAATTTTAGCCTTGTTTTTTAGCTGTTGAGAGAGAGAAGGTGAGATCGAAAGAGAGAAAGGAGTGGAAAGTAAACCTCGATAAAGATTTTTAAAAATGTCAAATTGTTTAATTTGTCCAATGATATTGGCAATTGCAAAATATTTTAAAGTCAAAATAGTGCACAGACATGCGCATGCGCAAATATGACTAGATACTTTTTAAGTTAAGACTTCTTATCGGCAGTTATTTGTTTGTTGTTACTCTGTTATTATCTGTTATTGTTGTTATTTGTTTGTTGTTACTCTGATAATACGTTTCAATATACCGATCGCAACACGAGTAGATGTACATTGAGCTTGACTGATATCATTAGGTTTACATCATCAGATATAAGTCGACATATGTTCAAGTGTGTTTAAGAAATTTTCCTTGATAATTTCTCTTCACCTTCGTCCTCTCACGGACTTACTGCTTTAAATAGGAAAGGACAACAGCGCTATTGAACAAAATGTTCTCAATATTGCTGGTTCTATTAATTGCAAGAATACAGAATGCATGCAAAAGGAACAGCCTAACATGAAAATTACAAATTGGAAATACCAAAATCAAACAAGCAAAACAATTTAAATATCTGGGAAGTATTTTAAAAGATGACAGAAACTGCAAAACTGAAATCTAAAGGCACATTGTGATAGTGAAAGATACCTTCCAAAAGCTAGGTAAAGTATCAAGAAACAGAAAAATATTCGTTTGAAACAAAGAAAACAGTACTGAACTATTACGTAATATCAGTCGTCCTATATGTCATCGAATACTGTACAATCTCTTCACAGATAAAGAAGAGACTTGAAACAACCGAAATGAGGTTCTACAAAAGAATGACAAGAATACCATGGACCAGACACGTAAGCAACGACGTTGTTTTAAAGAAAATGAAAGCAAAAAGGACATAGACTTATCAGTTAGAACTTCTAGGGTTATTTGCCCTAGAAAACTCATCTGTCTCTTCGATGAGGAAAGAGGGGTTAGAAAATTTGATACTCATAGCACAGATTTAAGGAAATATGGAAAGAGGAAAACAACGCATAACCTACCTAGCGAGTTTGAGTAAATAGAATGCGGATCAAGGTTTAGGAGGGATAAACAAAAAGACAAAATTTAAGAGCTACAAAAGAGATAATTGGGGAGATCCATGATCGCCAATATCATGAAAGGACACGGTATATGGAAGAAGATTGAATAAAATTTAAATATATTTGTAAATATATGAGAATGATCAGGTGCTTAAATTTGTATGAGAATCTGTATGTATAAGGTTAAATATATCTGTATGTGTTAATATTTAAGAGAGATTTACGCATAAACTGGGATACAGATATGCATATCCATACACAAATCAACGTCATATATACACATAAATGCAAAGAGGTGAATTATATATGGAAAAGAGGGCACACCTATATACACTAATATTGAAACTGACAGATAAGAATGCACACACAGAAAATATGACAAAGATATTTCAATCCTGGTTAGAGGCAAACGGATATCTATCCACACTGATGAGCTGTGAAACAGCGAAACAGTCTGTCTATGGATGACAATATATACATGCTCCCGAAAAAAATTATTTCGGTTGAGCTCACGGGGAGAAAAGTGAATTTGTAAATAGTGACTATTACTGCTGCTGATGCATGACTCTTCGTTAAGACGAATCAAGTTCTCCAGTCACTGGCTTGTCTATCTAAAAAAAAAAAAAAATGTCTAAATTCAACTTGATCCCTGCCGTGTGTCAATGGCTTAGGAGTAGAATCTTCAAGTGATAACATATTAGACGGGTTTCGATACCGGCTTGAAGCAATCGGATGACCAGCCACACTGATGAGCTGTGAAACAATATGTGTGTGGATGACAATATATATATATATATATATATATATATATATATATAAAGCAAGTACAAAGAAATACAAGAACATACAAACATTTTTATGTCCATAAATGCATGGGCCTGCTCATGTGCACCTGCAAATACGTCTGCAAACATATACAAATATACATGATTAAAATCTGGCTATACACATAGTGTTATGAACATGTATTCATAGATTCAAGCCTTCCGCAAAATGTAAAAGAAATGGAAAATAAAAACACACATGCACAGGCTCACACGAACACACACACATACACGCACACACTTACCTATATGAACAGAGATAAAAACACTTACCTATATACACAGAGATAAAAAGGCACGAGCATCTTCAGGTAGAAACAAATGTAAATTGTATAAAATGATGAAAAATGATGATTGGGAAAATGAAAGAGTTTGGAGGTTTGGGGTTAAGGTATAAAATAAAAAAAAACTTTTAATGTTTTAATGTTTACGATGATTGAAGCCATGTTATTTAGGGAAACTCTCGTTGCCGACATTTGAAGAAATAAATTTCAGTTTGGCTGTTCATTTTTTTTCTATCGCCCTTCCTGTTTCTAATTTCTTGTCAGACGCATGTGTTGAGCGTGCTTTTGTGTGTATGTGTGTGTGTGTGTGAGAGAGAGAGAGAGAGAGAGAGAAAGAGAGAGAGAGAAAGAGAGGCAGGAAGCTATCTTAATAATTACAAATGAAAAGTGACCATTTGGAATGGCTGTAGGCGTCAAGAGTTTCAATAGTAAAATTAACGAGAGACTTCTTTCCTATAAAGTAGGATAAAACTAAGTTTCAAAATTAAGAGAAAGACATGAAAAGGAAAGAAGACCGAGCGAGTGTGTGAGAGAGAGAGAGAGAGAGAGAGAGAGAGAGAGAGAGAGAGAGAGAGAGAGAGAGAGAGAGAGAGAGAGAGAGATTGAAAAAAGACGAAAATGAAAGTCACCATAATAAGGAAACTGAACTACACTACAGTATACAAGATAAATTGTGAAATTATTAAGGACAACGTTCATCTTCAGAACTGCATAAAACACATCAGATATATACCTAACTCTGGAGTACGCCGATGAGCATTGAACTAGTTACTGATAGTTTTAGTTTTCTCACACACATACTCACTCGCTCTCACACACACGCGCACACACGCACATACACATGCAACACACACACACGCATGAATTATGAATTTTAGTGTTGAAGGTATTTGTATGCAGAAGAGAAACAGAAGTCTGTAACATCCCATTATAAAAATTGCAAAAATTTTTTAGAAATGCCGTGAAAAGTATAACTCATAAGTTTTTGTAGAGACAATATAACCAAGACGTAAAATGGAAATAAAATTGAATTTATTACACGAACTAAACCCTGATGAAGACAGTAGTATGAGGATTGGGATCGCGGTGTCAAAAATGAGCGAGATCAAAATTTCTGTTGGTGTTCTACATTTAGGATTGTCGGTCACGCACTCATGTTGAGTGTAGTGAGTGGCTGTTCGGAGACTGAAATAGAAACATAACAATATAGAGGAAGTCTCTGGAAAGTTCTTGGGCTGAACAAAAATGGCTTTCATTAAGAATTTCTGGTATTTGTTCAGTACCTTCTTGTGTATTGCACTTTCGTCTCACTTAGGAAGGTTAAGTTTATTCTTAGAGAAGATCACTTGTCTGCTGAATTTCAAATTTCAAATTCGTCTTTTGTCCTCGTTTTAAACGCTCTTTCTATTTCTCTCTCACTTTCTCTTTTTCTTTCTCACTCACTCCACCCCCCCTCTCTCTCTCTCTCTCTCTCTCTCTCTCACACACACACACACACACATACGACACATTTTACCCAATCTGTAAATGAATGTTTCAATTAAGGTGTAAATGAAGGACAGACTGAGTAATACGGGATTATGGGGAAATATGCGTATAACCTTGCATCAGATTAAGTTGCTAAATAGGCATATATGTGTGTGCGTGTGTGTGTATCTGATAGTTGTGTATATACGAGGGCTAATGAAAATTGTTGGCCTAACTTTACAAAATCATCATAATTTATTTTCTAATCACTTCTTTTCATGATTAAATTACACAAACTGATATATTTTACAAATATAAAGTATTTCACCTTGGCCATTATCAATATTAATTGCTGTTAACGATGACGCAATTACCTTCTTTTCTATTTCGGCCTCATTAACTCTATGATTATGCCTATTAACCCTCACTCTATTTTTATCCTTCAATGGTTAAAAGTGAATACAGTATCCGGCGACGGCCGGTAATCAGACCTCTCACTCCATCATGCAAGCAATTCCAGTCACTGAAGCTATAGTGGTTGAAGAAGGGCTGGAAGCAATATATCTAATATATCTAAGAGGAGATAGAGAGAGTAAAAGAAGAGAGATCAGTATTTCAGTATTTCAAATTGAGAAAAGGGATATCGTGTTTACATTTGTTCAAAATGTTGACGCACAGATATCAATAAGTTCACTGACAAACCGGTTTGGCTTGATACGCGTGGGGATAAAAAGTACTGTAATCGGCCGCAAATAATTTACGATAACTCTACAGGAGGAGCCGGCATCTAGACTACCTTGAATAATAATAATTTTCAGGTAAGATGACATTTAATGTAGTTTCTGTTAATCCCTTGAAGGATTTCCTTCGTTTTTGTGCGACTTCCTTTCACTGTATAATTAACAATCAATCAAACACTTTACTTTCAGTGGCTGTAGCTTTTAAAGTAGATTGATTAATACGACGCCAAATGTTGTTTCCTTAGAACAAAGCAAGCTTACTTTACACACACAAACACGTTCTTTTCATAAGGCACTCCTATAAATATATATTCAATGCAAATAGTATGTTTAGCTTAATGCAGTACAGAAAACAGAATATGAGGAAATGTGTTTAGTATTCTCTGTCAGTCTTTTAATGTGGAAAACTTTTGAAACATTATTGGTATTGATGAGAAATACCCAATTATCTTAACCGCTTGGCACATATATATTTCTCAATCATATGTTGACATATATCAAAATAACACACACTGACATAAAGTATTTATTTTGTTAGGAATTATTCTTTTACTTGATTTATGGATTGACTTTGTGGCTGAAATAGTTGCGTAGTTTTCTATTGCATCATTAGTTCATATTCAAACTGAAAATAAATAACAAGATTTCAAATGTACATTTACCAACTCATCATTATCGACTTCATGACATTTTCCATTTATTATAAAAACAGAAACACCTCCCGACAAAAAAAAAACAACCAAGCCCCCTGAGGTCCCACACATATTACATAGATTAAGCCGTGCGTAATGTGTGAGCTGTACTTACAATTTTTTGTACTTCTTTAAGTCATGGGCTTCTAGGAATCCCTTCAATGTCTCTATCGGAACCTTTTCCGCGAACTCCAACTGCAAATGGAATTATTGATGTCCTCATGTGCAACATTTTTTTTAGATTTCCAAGTCAAGATTCTTGTATTTTGATAGTTTTTTTTTTTCAAGATCTTCAATATATCATGGTACTGCCATATCAATAAAAATTTTGTTTTTGTGATCTTTGATCGCGATATCTGGACGATTAGCTTTGATTGTCTGTGTGTATTGTAAAATCCTATAAAATTGTTAAAGAAAGAAAGAACCGGGTTTGGGTTACGTTCATACCAGTTTCTTGCAGTTTCCTTTCCATAAAAGTTGCATAATTTCCAGTGCAGTGCAACCTTACCCAAATTGTTTCTGTATATGTAAAATAGAATCTGCATTTGGGGTTAACAAACTTTTTCAGTATTTGTGTTTGGCAATTTCTAGTTAGCAACCATTGATCCTGCGTAGCAAGAATAAAACCGTCGGTTGCAGATTATAACACCGCACTACATAAGCACAGGTGGGTACGGTGTTTGTTTACATCAGCTTGTTTCGTACGGTCAAATAATTTACTATAAAAAGGCTTATCTTGCCATCGTTTCTGCATTTGGTTAATTGTATTTGCTTTCTTTTTTAGGTTCTTTGCAGCTGCAGTAGGTGCATTATAGTTTATTTGCATTTCTTCACCAACTTGAAATTCCCTTTTGAATTTGTTGGCTTCCATAACCATTAATTTTCAAAAAGATCACGAAAGCTACGATTCACAATTTTTATATTGTTCTCGGTTCCACTGTGTTCAGCCTTTTCATGTTCATTTCGTTCGCAAAAGACAATATGGGTTGTTGGCTCATACAGATAATAGTTTTGCCAAGGTTATCCTTGTCAAAACTCTGGTCTTATTTATTACTATAGAATATATAGAACCTTTATTTTCATTTGAATCAGAATTAGACGAGTGCTAAAAGTGTAATGATCATTAAAGTTTTTGAAATTTCTATGCCAATAGTTCTTGTTTGAATATAACAATATTAATTCAAGCACCTTTATTGGGTCGGTAGTCTGGTAACTTGCCCCAGTCATTTTGTTTTGGAAGACTATAGGAGTCGTTACACAGTGAGTATAAGTTGTTGAACATAGACTCTTCTTCCATTAACTGTGAGAGAAACTTCAGCTCATAGAACCAAGAATCGCAAAGTGTGTCGCCATGTTTGCCGCACGCATTACCACATTAACTACATATATGTGTGATTAATCCATGGGATTAAACAATTTGTTCACTGATCTTTATTCTAGTTTTTTCTTTGAAATATTAATCGGAACTACGAGTTTATGGCAGCATTATAACATTGTTGTTGATTGTACTTTTTATTTTTGCTTTTTATTCATTTAATTTGAGTGAAAGTTGGTTATTATGGAAAACCACATGCTTTTGCTCAGACTTCATTAATTTATTAAATAAGAAAAAGTGAGAGTAAGAAGATTATGTTGAACCAAAGATCCCAATGTGTGTGGGCGAGGAAAACAACTACACAAATTTTAGGTTTTTACCTGAGCACTGACCACAGGTGCCAAGGTGGAATACGCAACTACCTCAAAGAATGTCTACCAACTTTCACTTGTGACTAAAACTATTAAATTTTGTACTTATCTTAGACGCCGATCTGTTAAAATCGCTTTTGTATTTCAACTTTGGTTATTTGCATATTTTCACAAAAATGGTCAAAGTTTCACTTTTCTCATTCTCATGTTGATTTCTTTTGTTATTTGTACGGATATTTATGTTTATGTCTTGTTCGCCTTTGACATTAGCTGCAAATGAAATGACTAATAATACATCGCTGGTGTAAGTGATGTTATTAATATCAAATGGAAATGTCAATTTCAAGAAGTTCACAACCTGCAATGTTTGTGATCACCAGAAAACAATGGGATTTCTTTCTTTCTTTCTTTCTTTCTTTCTTTCTTTCTTTCTTTCTTTCTTTCTTATTAATTCTATCTGTCAGTTAATATTTGCTTCTCTTTTTCTTATTTTATCTTCCTTTGCCCTAATGTAAACAATCTTTTTTCCAAGCTCAATTATGTTTTTTTTATTTTCCTTTTATTTTTTCGTGATTCATTTTCCTTCCTTTCCTTGTATGGCAACAGCAGCAGCATTATCAACAACAGCAACAGCAGCAACAACAACAAGAACAATAATAATAATAATAAATCTAAAAAATGTGGCACATGGGAACATCAACTATCCCTGTTGTATGTTGGAGCCCTCGGATTGATTGTTAAAGATTCCAGTAGACTAATTGAAGGGATTCCTGGAAGCCCATGCCTTAAAGAAATACAAAAATTGTTTTCACGAGTACAGCCCACACGTTAAGGAGGGCTTTATCTATGTAAAATATTTTTTTCTTTTCTGTCAGTTGAAAATGTCATGATGCCATTTCTAACCTTAGTTCTTTGGGCAGGACTCCGAACGAAATGTGTACACACAAGAAATCAAAGGAAATAATAATAATAATAATAATAATAATAATAATAATAATAATAATAATAATAAATGTCATCTCTCTGGAATTCTATGCAACTTTGAAT